CTTTCCTAATAAGGTTGGGCAGTCAATAATGCTACTACACTATAATAATCACGCCTTTTTTCGAGACTGAAAAAGTTATGCTTTTGTAGTAATTCAGAGTGAGGTGTACCTATTAGAGGATAAATGCCAAAAATCGTCTTTGAATTGCTTCTATTCGATCTCTATGATACTGATAAAAGAGACACCACACAACTGAAGCGTATTCTAACTTTGATCTCATAAAAGCATAAAATAGAGTTTTTAAGGTAGAGGTTTCTTTAAAATCACTACGTGCAAATTATCCGTACATGCGATAGAAGGAGAATACAACATTATCAATATATTTAATAAATGATAGTGTAGTGTCAAACGTGACACCAAGATCGGTAAATGTTTCTGGTTGCTCATGGGCAAAGTTTTCTATTGAATAATTTAATATTAGTGTAATAAACCTTGAACTTTTAGGCTTTATTTAACATTAAACTTTGACAATAACAAAATGTAAATAATTGAATGGATACGAGTTAGAACATACTATAACTATAAGATAAGAACATACTATAAACTAATAAACAGGTATAGTACATTCTCCCCCATTTAATATTTGTAAATATAGTCTTTTAGATAATTTGGAGGTTGTTTTACTCTTGATGATTTTCTTAAGGGAATATCACTTGTGTTTTGCTGGTTTTCACCAGAGATGGAAGTAGGAAGAATGTTTTCAGAAATGTTATTTGTAGAAGAATTTTGGATTAGTTCATGATTCATATGCAAGGAATTCTCAGCACTATCGGTTAAGGTGATATTTCCTCTAGGGGCCAAATATTTAATCGAAACAGTAGATTCGTTTCCATTATTATTTCGGATTAAAGAGTAATTTGAATTAACCTCTATGACTTCAACTTCTTCGACCAACGGATCGTATTTACTTTGACAAATATGCTTCTTCATAAAGACGATTTCTGAAGGGCACAACTATGTAGGAAGGGAAGGGAGGGTTCATGTTTAAATATACGTTTATGGGGTGTACAATTAATTGAAGTACATAATAAGGATCTGATAGAATGAAGAACATCAGGTAAGACCATTTTCCATTGAGTTTGCTGCAAATTTCTAGTTTTTAATGCCAAATTAATACTTTTCCATATGATTCCGTTATAGCGTTCAACTTGTCCATTACCTTCTGCGTTATACGCAGTAGTTCTGCTCACAGCTATATTAAGGGAATAAAGAAAGTCAACAAACTCCTTGGAAGTGAATGAAGAACCACGGTCAGAATGAATATATAAGGGTAATCCAAAAATAGAAAATAGTTGACTGAGGCAATTTATAATAGTAGATGAATGTAAATTGGAACAAAAAAAGCAAATGGGAAACGTGAATATTCATCAACCACTGTTAGCATGTATTTATTTTTTGTGCTGCTAGGCAATGGGCCTTTTAGATCAATATTTAAACGTTCAAATGGACTAGTAGCCTTAATTAGATGTTTTTCTTGGTTTTTATGAAAACGAAGCTTAATTTCGACACATACTGGACAAGATGTAGTCACCTAATGAGTATGGCAAATTGCGGCTTCTAAAAAAATGGTACATCCTTGTTATTCCAGGATGACATAATGACTGATGAAGATTGAAGAGTTTATTATGTATCGTAGCTCCACAGATTCTTGAAAAGCAGTCGCTGACTACATTAGAGGGTCCTGGACGATAAATAATGTCATAACTAAAACATGAAAGTTCTAATCTCCATCTCTGTATTTTTTAATTTTTAATTTTTCGTGAATGCTTTTCAGTCTCCCAATTAAAAAATGTCTCCATTTTCGAAGAGCTTCTACGATAGCATATGCTTCTTTCTCAATAGCAGAGTGTCTGCGTTCAGAAATGGAAAGGGTTTTAGTAAAAAATGCTACCGGTCGTCCATTTTGACTTAACGTAACAGCTATTGCAAAATCAAAAGCGTCTGTATCTACTACTGGAATATCGTCATCATTCATGCAATATAAAAACGATTTTGCAATATCTTGTTTTATGTTCTCAAAATCTTCTATGAGTTCTGGAGTAAACGGAAAAGATTTACAATCTTTGATGTGACATATTTTCTGAGATAATTTTGGTATCCATTTCGAATAATGGGCAAACATTCCCAATATTCTTCGCAAGGAAGCAGTGTCTTCTGGAGTCTTTAATTCCAAAAGGGGCTTTAATCTATCTGGATCTGGTCGAAGCGTTCTATTTTCGATACAATACCCTAATAACTTTATGGAATGTTTCGAATAGCTACATTTATTTTCGTTGAGGGTTAAACCATATTTATTTGCAACACATAAAAATTTATCTAGATTGTGATCATGAATATCTTGATTACCTCGTTTATTATTTATAAATGCCCAAAATATACTGGGGTTGTTATGTATTTCTTCCTCAGTTTTGCCTAAAATTTTCTTGTATGCAACATCAACAACATGCATTATTTTTGCCAGAAGGTGTTTAAAATCCTCAAAGACCTGTAAATTACTTTCACGCTTGTGAATTATACTTTTAGCCTGTAAATCTTTAATACCAGTTTACCAAGGAGGATATTTATTTTTGGATTTAAGTGTATAGAAATATGTGGATGCATCTTCTGAATTATCAGAAGCTTCCAAGAAGGTCCAGTCAATAAAAGATATGTGTTCACACATTTGTGGAAAGTTTGCTCTTTTGAAGTTATAACTGTTCTGAAAACAGGATTACAATTTACTTTTAATGTAAGCCTTTATCTTTAGTATACAAGTAATATCCAAAGCAGGATGATGTCGATCTTCGGTTACAAATGGATCCAGTGATTTCTCCACATGACATTCTCCATTAAAAAGGTTATTACATACAAAATTATTTTGAGATAGATCAAACATTTGTGAAAAAATATTAAGAGTAGTGATTTCCCTATTAGTTACACCATAATCCAGATAGTTAATATATTCGCTAACATTAAAGTCTCCTACAACGAGAACTGCATTATTATGTAATATATGCAACAACACCAGGGCTTCAAAAAATTGTTCAAACTCAGTTAGTGGAGTTTGAGGAGGTATGTAAATATTGAACAAATAAATATATTTATATGAAAAGGTTATTTTAACAACTATGATATCAATGAATTTAAGCTGCGGAAAATTAAAATCAGATTGATTAATTTCTACGGAAACAAAATCTTTATGTACCCCGATAAGCACACCTCCTCTGGTTAAAGAAGTCCGATCAAAATTACGATCCATCCTGTACATGTTAAAACTATCCGGAAATAATTCTAAATTGTTAATGGATGAGTCAAGCCAGGTTTCGGTTAACGCAAAAACACGATAGTTGCTTTGAATTACAGAATTTAGAATCTGGATAGTTTTTGTCTTTATTTTGGTAAAAAAATTATGAAGGTGTTCGTATCTTTAACGAGACCTGGCTTTGAATCTACGAGGGGAATATGACAATTTCCCTTTAATTGCTATTCAGAAATTAAGATACTATTTTTAAATTTATTTCTGCATACGAGGCGCATTTATCTTTTTCCCAGGCAGCGCGATTAATATCTAGATCTTTGCTAGCTAGTATCATGCAATTGGAGCATTTTTAAATGGACGATTTACACTGATCTAAATTATGGGCACCCCCGCAAATCGGACAAGAAATTGGTTTACTACAGTTATGAGAGGAATGGTTAAAGTCGTTACACTTATAACAGCGGAATACGTCAATGCCGTCCCAAACAGCAAAGGACGGTGAAATAAAGTGCCATGAGGTGGAGTCAAAGCCTCAACTTTCGACGGGAAGATGTCATGGACCAACTACCTTAAACAGTTCGAAATAGCTGCCAGAGCGAACGAATGGACTGAAAGAGAAAAGGCAGTAAATTTGATCATTACCCTTCTAGAAGGCGCTTTAGATGTCCTTCAGACTATACCCGAGGAAGAGACGGATGTATTTGAACAAATTAAAAAGAGATTAAACATGCGATATGGCCACGAACACTTGGAACAGATGTACCGATTACAGTTAAAGAATCACGAACAGAGGCTCTCGTCACGCCTTCAAGAAAATGAATTAGATATTGCGAAGATGGTGCGATTTTCCTAACCATCAGCTCTGGAATACATGATTGAATTTTTAGCTATTCAAGCATTTGTTGATGGACTTCGTGACTATATGAGATGCAAAAAACACTTCGTTTAGCCCAAAACATTGGTCGATGTCTTGTCCGGTGGTCTTGAAGATGAAGCGAAATGAAGTGTTGGTCAAGGCACTCTGATTGGAAAGAAGTTGTCCACATCTGCTAAATAAATAACAGTACGCAGGACAACAGTTTTCAACTATGAGTGAGCCCCTGTCAAACTTAGGGAAGACCCTTTACTGCGCCGCGGAGTCTGGCGTTGGCTATTGAGACTCGACTCATGATCGAGACATTACTGGAATTTTCTCTGTATGCGGTACGACGCGTGCAGGCAGGTTTAGAATTCTTCTAGCCATGATTCGTTGTTTTTAGATCGTTACATTTATATATAAATAACGCGACTTTGTCAATAGAAGTTAAGTTTCAATATAAATATTGTCAAATAAAGATAAATTGTTAAATAAATTAAAAGTGTGAATTATAATAACGATTAAGTCTAAATTAATTAGTACGTAGTGTAAATAAATTAAAAATAAACTGTTTTAAATATATAAACTATTTTTGAATTATCCAAAAATTCAAGTGTGCATTTGGGAATGTAAAAAATGAAACCCCAATTGCCCCTACAAAAATACGGACTTCATCTCCACAAATTTAAGGTGAAAATTAACCAAACAAAAATTGAAAAAGCTGAAAAAAGAAAATAAGTGTGCCCCAACCAGGGATCGACTATAGTTGGACGTCTTCAAATTTAGCAATTCATCATCGTTCATAAAATATAATATACGAGTATCTACTTAATTCGTATTAAATATGTATACCTATATAATTCGCGGAGGAAGATTAAAAAAAAATAATAGAAAAAAATTACTTACTTTCTTCTGGAACACCTTGTGGTTGGGGACATTGAATACTCTCATATTCCGTCCTTCCGAAACTTGCGCTATAGACTGCCACTCTCGAGTTCGGATTGCACTTCAGCTGGATTCGCTCATTTTGACAGGCCACTTTACTTCGAAACTCGTCTGGAAAAAAGTTCGATGCGTTCTATTTAATTCAGCACTTTTTTCGAGAGCTTATTATGAAATATTGGATTTAATCGCGAGGGAAAAAATACAATTTTAATATCCTGAAGTGGTCTGAACTCGCAGGATGTTTGGCTAAAATCCAAGGAAATCGCTTTCAGTGTTTGGTTATTGCGAAAATTTAATTTTTAAAAATTGTATTGGTGAAATTAAACAGGTCGAGCCAAAAAATGGTAATTTAATTAGGATTACGAAGCCTAGCGTATTTGGACAGAACATTTTTACTATTAATTCGAGGTAAAAATTATACGAGTAGTCTTTAATTATTGATTATCTAATGCATATTTTAATTTATGGATTATTGGTTATTTCTTTTTATAATAATTTGTCCTGTATACAGTATATAGAACCTGGCTTCCTTGGCTTTTTTTATATAATCTTAAAAACAATGAAAAATTTGAGATTGATTAATTTACTAATTAAAAAGTTTCATTGTTTGTATCTCTTATAGTATTAGGAAAAGCAATAATTCAGCATTCGAACCATAAATTCGTTCTGAATCTTCAACGAAAGTCCATCTCAATATTTCTCAACTCTATTTAATTAACCCTAAAGGACTAACAAAATATTAACTCTGTAAATTAATTTTGTCACGACATTTTTGTGAATGCCCTTTGTAATCTTCAGAGGGAAATTCATTATTTTGTCAGATTGCTTCTTTCGGATGTCTTTCACGAAAAATATACCAACGAAAAAGGAGATGCGAAAAATCTTACGGAGAAAAAACATGATTTATTGCCTTCTCTCCTTTACTTAGACCATTTTTATCACAGATTAGATACGTCACCTATAATTGCATTTTTCTATTAATTATTTATTAAAGCGATAATTGCGTATGCATTTCTCAGTAAATAATGATCTTTAAATACAGATAAGCCCATTTTATAACATTTCTCCATAACGATTATACACTTTTAAATTAAAAATTCCAATATCAATTTTTCTCACAGACGCAATCGACAGTTGTATATTAAAAGTAAATAGTGATGCACACAAAATGTTTCTAAAGTAGGCCAGGACCGACAAAGACAGATATACGAGTCATGTCCGTGATAAATATGCACGGCAGTTGATTAAATCCAAACTGACACTTAAAAAAGAAGAAAAATTATGTGCGGAGAGCTATGACGTTAATGGTATTTGTATCTTGTGGTACATTTTATACAGTGTTGGTCACTGAACGTTTTCCAATAAGCGGTGCACAAGTGCTTGTGAAAACTACAAAAAGTTAACATTAGAGCGAGCAGGAAACGAATAATATAACATTGGCCAGGCAGTATAAACTGGCACCGCTGATATTTTTCGTTTCCTGTTCGTTCTAATGCTAACTCTCTGTAGTTTTTATACGCAATTGTGCAAAGGCGTATTGGAAAGTGTTCGATAGCCGATACTGTATAATCATATTTTGCTACTTCAAAAAGTAGTGAGTCCTATTAATTATGTCAGGTAATTTTGGTATAATATCCTAAAATCAAAATAATAAAATTTCACTTTATAGGGTAAATCTTAAGTTGACACTTTTTTAACTGGGTATATAGAAATCATTAAAATAGGTAAACAAATTTTTCAAATCACTTTTTCAAGTTACTCTTTTAAATAACTTTTTCAAACAATTAAAAAAAAACTCAAAAATTCAAAAGTTGAATTAAAATATTTCCAATATGGTCCTGTAAATAATGTGTACAAAGTTTTCACCATTTACTGGTGTTGAAACAAAAGGTATCTGTAACGGGTTACCCCACGACACTTAGACCTTACTAAGTCAATTGTGCATACTCCTAAGATGATAGGTACCTCCTAGCTCGTAAGCCAGCCTATAGATTTAATGTAGCTGACAACATCTCCAAGAGGTGCTTATCTTATATCGGCCGGTGTTAGCCTATACTCGCTGAACACAAATCTGCTAATAAATGAGAGCGTCGAGCAATCGTAAAAGATATGCTTGATGGTCTCATCTTCTTGTTCTGACAGCCCCATGGCATGGGGATGCTTCCATACTTGGCAGTGACCAGTCAGAATGCTTGGAACCAGGTGCAGATTCTGTCTAGTCATATAGTATTTGTTTGCTGTAGTGTTGTCAGCTCCCTCCCTGACAACTCTGCAGTTTCTTGTTCCATCCCATATTTCCTTGAATTTCATAAGGGAAAGTTTTTTAATTAGGTCTGTCACTAACGATTTTGTCAGGCCAATAGAATGGCAAGGTCCAAAACGTATTGGGTTGGCTGCCTCCTTGGCCAGTGAATCATCAATGTGGCGTGACCTTTGATCCATCTTAAGGCGACTACATTGTTGATAGATACTTTGGTCAAAGCTTCGTAATATTCTATTACTAACACTAAGTAAATTCGTGGTCTGTTCTGGGTGTGTAGTGCTTGTATTCTATCTGTATAGATGAACATGTTCCTTCCAGTGATATAGTTACTGGTGATTTCTTTTGCTACTATGAGCTCTGTTTGAACTACGCTGGCGCTATTTCTCACAGCCTATATATATTCATTATCCTGAGCCTTGTTTTGTTTTAGAACCGTCGGTGTAGATATGAATCGTACCTGCCACTTATGGCTGTTATAACTTTATATGGCTTATGGGAATATATATCTCGGTAAGCTGGAGTCCATATTCGCTTGAAGCAATGGGTGCGTATCGAGCATGGAATATAAGATAAATCGTTCACTGTTCATTCTGTACAAAACCGAGTGAACACCCGAGTAAACTTCTATATACAGTTAAATAAAGTATCAACGTATATTGAATAGTATTTTTCAGTTCAGGCAAGTTTTATGCGAAGAATCACAGGCTTCAAATGACTCCAGAAACAAATATCCAGTATTGTTAGGTCGGGTGATCTGGCTGACTCTTTAATATGAATCCTTTTATCTGTAGGGAAAAACATTGGTGAGAAATTCTCTAACACTTCTGGCATAGTGTGACGGAACTCCTACCTGTTGAAAGTACACGTTATTTTGGAAAATTTTCGCGATTTGGAAATAATTGGATTAATGCATTGATTAATAAATTCAAATAAATATTAGAAGTAGTGGCGGCTCGTGGGGTGGTTTACAGTGACAGAATATAGGTAATAGTACAGATGTATAAAAAAAACTTTCAGTGTTTTAGAAAGTTTATAATATACCTTCTTAAAACACTGATAGTTTTTTACCTATATCTGTACCGGGATCTATATTCTGCTACTGTGAACTCCCAAACTTTTGGTCACGAGCCGCCCCTGATTAGAAGTCACAGTACCGTAAAAAATTGCTCTATTACATGTGTTCCAGTTATATCAGCCCAACCATTTAACTTTTGTGGATCTTGTGTGTCAAACTAAAGTGGATTTTAAACAGACCAGTAGTTGACAAATCAATTTTAATATAATGTGACCTCATTAAAAAACAAAATACGGTAAGTATCTCTTCTAGGCTATTCACAATTGTCTGGCAAAACTGCACCCGGCAGTCGGGGTTATTTTCCGAAAGTTCTTGAAGAAGATTTGCTTTATAAGGATGCACTTGATTTTTCTTCAATATTGTTCGAAACTATCTCTCAGTCTTCGGACGGATTTTAGTCTTCTCTTCAGAAGTAGATCGGTCGTCATGTATCGCTGTCTTTGGACAGCAGTTTTTGGTAGATGTTATGTTGTGGATGTCATGCAACCTACAATATATATGATTCCCCATTCTGTCGCTAATGCAATAAGGTAATAGTCTCGACATCTAAAGACCGCTCAAGTACACTATTCAAAATTTTCAGAAGCAGAAATACTACATCTGACTCGAAAGGAATTGGAAAGCCATTAAAAATTACCATTGCAATTATTTTCATAATGATCAGTTTCGCCATTGACATGTGCTAAGGATGCAACTCAGGATGAAAGCAAGCTTGTTGAAAATTAAATAACTAGGCCGAGAACGTCCCAGACTCAGGATGGCCGTGTTAGCCCTTCGGCATTCAGGTGCATGCCGATGGAAGTGGCCTTGATGTACAAATATTCCCGGATAACGCCCTGTAGTTAAAACAGTCAACCACTGTGGCTGTGCTTTGTGCGACTATTGTCTAGAACAACGTGTTAATCGGCTTATATTTTAAAACTCAGAAATTGCCGGATAAAAAATATCATATATCCTAATAGATATAAACTTTCAAATTGATTTTAACACCAAAAAAGTTTGTTTATATTTGTTTTATTTTCGCAACTGGTAACTTAATGAATTTTTCGTAAGGACTGGTTGCATATAGTAGATCGTTTTGACACTTGCTGCGATTACAAAAGATATCACTTTATGTGTCAAAATAAAAAACAAGAATTTTTTAAAATAAATGAAGGTGAATGTGAAAATAACATGAATATGACACCCAATACCTTTGAAATTTTTTAACGAAAAGTTGTGGAGGGGTAAAGAGTAGAGAAGTTTCATTTTAAACATTTAATTAAACATAAATTAGTATTATTAGATATATAAATTTGTTTTTTATTTTGATTTTACGTTATTACGACAAAATAACATGACATAATCCATATAAACCTTATATCATTGAACTCAGAACTCTGCTTCAAGTTTCAAAATATGAAGTATTATAGAGTGTTCCATTAAAAAAAGACATTAACGTCATAGTTCATGCACACAATGTCGTCCGAAGTTGATACGTTTCGTTCGGCTGTAATCGAGAAGTTCCGGAACTTTTTCCAATTCTGTTTCGTTACTTATTAATAACAAAATGCAGTCAACTCAATGGACCTTTCACATTATTGGACAATAACACATTGCTCATGCACGAAAAAGCGCGGGAATATTGAATCTATTAATTTTCTAAACAACCTAATTGTTCCCTTTCTTATCATCGCCTTACAATTGTTAAGTTGGCTACGTCGATTACCCTATGTCATCGAATTTAAACAATGTCAACAAGCCTATATAGTAGGGACCCAGTGATAGTTTTTTTTGAGCACATTTGCACAAGAATGAATTTATAAATGTATCGTTAATTCTTATCTTGTAGAAGATGGAAATACTTTTTTGCAGACGCATCAGCTATGAAGCGCTCGATGACGATTTAGAAAATAGAAACAGAAAAAAGTTTGCTGCAATCCTGGTAGAGATGAAAATTGTTTGCTGCAATAGATGGCAGTGAAATGCCCTGTCACCAAGCAAGAAGGTACTGTGAATCGAATTTTAAGAAGGTGGCAGCACACTTTTTTCTATTAACTTTTGATGTAAATAATAAAAAAAACGGTTCAAGTCCTCTCTTCTATGAGAGCATTTTCTACACAGGCTTTTTTAAAACGAAGGCTTCTAATTCAATTCTCTTTAAGGTAAGAATGTATAATATAATTGTAATTGTGCCTTTCGCAGATAACATACCTAAAAGTGCCACTGACTCCCCTACCAATACTATTAAACGTAAAAACACATAATGACATTTGCGAATGTGTAATTGGAACTTATTGTAGGAAACATAACGACAAGAAATTTTGATGAATTTAAGTGGAAATAGAATTTGCGCATGAATAATAGAGATTATCACTAATGGGAAAGGTCCATTGGTCAAAATATCGTCACATTACATAGGAATTATAAATTTGTACTTAAATAGGTAATAAAATAAGTACTTACATGGTCGACACTTGTAAGCTACCTCGACGTATTTTCTAACTCCAGGACATGGGTCGCCTCCAAAGGTCTTCGGGTTGGTTTGGAACTTGCACTGGCGCTTCTTTTGGCAAGCCTCCACGACAGTCTGTAACAGCGAATACTAGGTACTGTCAGTCAGATCGGTTGCTTTCTAACCCCATAAGGACTAATTAATGTTATAGTTTCTAATGAAATGAGAAAGCTCTAATAGTTCTAAGCACCATGCATGTTTTTTAGGTGGATGAATGATATTGGTTATACAGAGTGTGACTCGATGGCCATGGCATAAGACCGTATTCCTTAAATAATTTTAAGTCAAAATGAGAGGATTGTTTCATACAATGCCTTATGTTTCGCCTTTTTGAGTTAGAATTATCCAATTTTATTAAAAAGAATTTTGAACGAGATTTACACTATATATCCAATATTGAGAAACTTTATTTCCATGTATGTTTTTGACTTTGGGAATTAAGTTTAATAAAAAAATCATTTGTAAAGAAAATAATTCCGTAATTAACAAATTATGCACGATGTATTCACAGTAAATTAAGCTGTATCCATTGTTTTCTAAACTACAACTAAATTAAATATAGAATGAAATAACTATGCAGAAACAAATATGTTCAAAGTTAAAAGAGAACAATGCTTTATTTTACATGCAATGGCAGCCCGTCATAGGGGGCCTTGTTAAAATATTTATTCAAATACCAAAAATTTTAAGAGAATGAAAATAAATGTTAATAATTAAATTTGTACAACAGATAGTTTGCGAAAGAGAATTTACACTTTGACCACTTTGATGGGAACCGTAGATAGAAGATAAAACATTTTCCGGGTAAAATATATTATGTATCTATTCTATTTGTTAAAATAATTTAACATATGATAATCAGATGTTTTCAAAAGAACATGATATATAAACGCTACTACACAGCAAAGAGTTGGAGGATCTGATTGAATACTGCCTGAACCAGAATTCTGAGCAGGTAATAGGTTGCGATTCAAATGCTTATTACTTTAGTTGGGGAAGTAAGGATAACAACGCTTTATGATTATGTAATTACCAAAAAATCTTTGTATTTTACATAAAGGTATTACACCAACATTTTTAAACTCACTTAAATAGGATTGGGACACTTACTAATCTCACCTCAGCGAATACAAAAAAATCGTTAGACAAAAACAGAGATGGAGATCCTACTCCAAAGAAATCGTAGATTTCTCGCAGACAGTGAGGCTACAAAAAGCTTTCTCAACAGATCCACACCGCAGTATTGGTGCCATAGGCGCCGAATCCCGGGGCTCTGGGTGCACAATATGGACAAAAAGTGTTAATAAGTGAAATGAAGATGTCGTGGCCCAAGTTGGTAGAGCGACAGAATGCCTCGATGCGGCATCAGTTTTTCATTGACTGTCAGAGTTGTAAGCTGTGACGTTGCATGTTGCGATAATCCTAATGCTAATGCAAAATATTAAAGCTTTCTGCCTAAGACTCACCTCAACTTTTTTCTTAGGTTGGAAAACAATTTTTCATTCGAAGTAATACAAGACCTCACTTTAAATCTTCTAATGTCAGAAATTCGTAACACGATGAGTTTATTAAAACGTATGTATTGAATTAGTACAGTAGCGTTTTAGCTTTTAAATACTATAAAAAATAGTGGAAAGTCCATAGCTTTTAAATATTTGTTAAATGTCACTAATATTAAAATATTATGCATTAAAAGTAAAACAAACTATAAACTTTCCACCATTCTTTATCGTACTCTAAACAAATTTTTAAAAATAATTTTTGAAAATATTATCGTTCGGAGCTGCATTTTTTGTGATAAAAAAGTCGCCAGGGAGCTTTTAAGTTATCCTGACAACAAAACAGCAAAAAAATACTTGACTATGAGTAAACAGAATCTGCACCTAATCACAGGCATTCTGACGGAAGCATTTCCATATCATGGGGCTGTCAGGGGGCGCGAACAAGAAAATGAGACCATCGTCCATATCCTCTACGATTGCCTGGCGCTCTCATTTATTAGAAGATTTGTATTCGGCTAGAATTATCTAACACCGGCCAATATAAGAGAAGGATCTTTTGGTGACGTTGTCAACTACATTAAATCTGTAGGCTGGCTCACGAGCTAGGAGGTGCCTATCTACTTAGAAGGATGCACAATGGGCCTAGTGAGGCCTACGTGCCGTGGGTTAACCCACCCTCTATACATTACAGACACAGTCAGATAATATATGAAGTTTGTCGCTCTATATCTCAGTAAATATTAACGGTAAAAGAAAAATTTTAAAACAAAATTATAGAAAATGTAATAATCTAAGAAAAGGTAGTGTGCAGTTTACGAGACATGTAATTAAAGGCGGTTTTCTTTCATTGAGAGTTCCCGCATGCAGCGATATTTTTTGTAAAAAAGTAGGTCTAAACTAAAATACCCCTGAATCAAATGAGTCATTATTTTAAGTGCGACCTAGATATACGTTACGAAAATAAAAAAAAAATTAACATCAGCGTCACATAACCAGGCGGTGTCCGTAGAGAGTTATTGTGTGCAGCATGTGCACTGTTCTTCTAATACAAACAAAACCACCTTCTGAAAATCTGAGGTATCTGATTATTGATCGAATTCCATCCACGCTTTCGAATTGTGAGTGATTAGGATCATTGATGATGTGAATATTGGATCAGACGTGTACGATATATTCCATCGAATTCAATCGAGCAGGAATTTTAAAATTTTCAACATCCAACAATATGCATATTTTCAATAACTGTAGATACATATTTTTAGAATCAAAACAATCAACCCAAATTAATTAAAATTCCAAATTTAGGCAATAGTTTAAAGAAATACAGAGTGATATTGTCAACATCAATATAAAGATTCGGATTACCAATGCTTTATTATCCTTTTATTCTCAATTTTAAATTTTGTTATTGGTCTTGACCAACTGTTTTTTTTTCATTCTTTTCAATCTACATGTTGATTTTCAGCCTCTTATTCCCGTCGTTTTTGTATTTATTACCTAAAACGATTTACTTATAGTATTTAAGTCTAGATCGACCATATTGTAATCTGAAGGAACCCAGTGGCACTCTTTAACATCAGTATATTCCTGGAGCTCTCCTAATCCACAGGCTACAAACATTGGAAATCTCATATTTATGGATTTCATATTCTCGCTTACTACAAATTATTTTGGCTAATACACATGGTAGAACTGTCCTTTGAAGTTCTAATTTTGGTATGATCTGCTAAGCGAGGAGCTATTTTTAACTTTGAAGTGACGAAACTGGCGAATATCTCTAAATAATTTTCAAATATTATGTATGCAACAGCAGAGTATACCTACTTCTTTCATTTTTTATTCTAGTCAGATTACCACGATGATCTTTTGGAATCGATGAGGTTACTGCAAATTCATTATTTATCAATTCTTTCATTTTAAATCCACCTGCATTATGGACATGGATAACCTGCTGGACATGTTTTATGGCTGGTTCAAAATCGCATAAGTCCAAGTAGTCATCGACATAATGCTGTTTGGTAGTAGCTTTTACAATATTAAGAAAGCCTAATTAACACAAACTGTGCCTTGAAATGAGAGGATAAGGCTTCAAAAATTATGATTTCCTCCACGCCAAAAAAACATTGACTGCATCTCTCTTTAATCAGGAGGATGACTAATTGGTAAAATATTTCTATTATAAACACCATAAACAACTTGTATGTAAGGAAGTTCAATCCTAATTATATGAGAACCACGTCTGCATAAACCACACGCTGCTGTATTTTATAGGATCAAATCCAGCCTCGCCTATCATCTATATTTTCTACTCATTACGTTTCATTTAAATCAGTTATTGGGTCAAAATAAGGGTTGGGAGGGATGGTCTATTCGGGCGTGGTTCTCATATAATTAAGATTGATCTTCCTTACAGGTAATATTTAAAGCAAGGCCAGTAAACTGATGATTCTAATTTTTAATATTTCAAGACTTCAACCTAAACTTCAATAAACTTTTAGTTTATAAGCACTTAATCTAGACCAGCCTAAAAATTCGGTTTCATAATAAGGAGATTTTGATAAAACCACCTTCTCCAAGACAATACACTCGCTAACCAACAGGAATATTCCATAGATGGTTAGTGGGTGGATACATAACATGCTTTTAAAGCGAGCAGTAAACATAAGTGTAGAAGATGTAAACATAAGAGCTTGGTTACGAGGGGATGCTCACAGGGAGGGGTGCTATCACTTCTACTGTGAAACATGGTCCTCGACACCCTCATCAGCCGCCTTAATAATGACAGTCACTACACAATAGCATATGCAGATTACCTGGTCATTTTCCAAACAGGGAATTTTGAGAACATACTCTGCGAAAGAATGCAAGTAGCTCTCAAAATTATAGAACAGTGGTGTGGACCATTCACTGTCTATCAATCCTATAAAGACTGAAATGGTCCTTTTCACAAGTAAAAGGATGAAAATGGAATTAAAACCTCCAAAACTCCCAAACATAAAACTAAACTTTGCAATAAAGGTGAAGTACTTACGTCTCACCTTTGACAGCAAGTTAACATGGAACTCGCATTTAGCTAACAGAGTCAAAAGAGCATACATTGCTCATGAACAATGCCGCTGAACCGTGGGGCGCACCTGGGGTTTCTCCCCCAGAGTCGTCGCATGGACTTACACTACTATCATAAGACCTATGTTAACATACGGTGCAGTTTATGGGTATCAAAAACCCAAAAATTGACAGCTATCCGTAAACTAGAACAAATTCAAAAAACAGCATGTCTCAAAATAACAGGAGCCATGAAAACAACACTGACCAGAGTCATGAAAGTCATTCTTAGTCTCACTCCCTTGATATTTACATCAAGGGGGCTGCTCTGACGATAATAATACGCCTCCGTACGGTTGGATTAGAAGCTGATATAGGATCTGGTGGGGCGAGACGTGGCTTTTGGCAGGAGGCGCTCGATACAATCCCACTGCTTCAAGCGAACATGGACTACATCTCACCGAGATATATCTTCCATAAGCCATATACAGTTGTAACAGAACAAATAGAAGAGCCGGAAGTGGTAGG